CTGGCACATCGCCCAATGTCTGGCTCTGATACCATTTGTAACGGCTCAAACTCACCACTAGCAGATATTGTCCTCTTTGGACTTTCCCTATCAGGCTTCCCATCAAGGTTTTTAAAACGCGTCTATTAGGAAGAGGTTTCCACACCCTTATAAAGAATGTTTCGTTCTCCTCCCTAACCGATGTGGGATCTCACGTCACTTGTGGGCTTAATATTGTGGAAGGTCATCAATATTAATTGGGGAGGAAATTACCCCTTTTATAGGGGGTTAAATCACCAATTATCTCAAAATTGAGTCAGAAAAAAGAACATTAATAAACCATTAATAGAGAGTTGTCTTATCTACGTACTGGACCACCAAGACCAGTGAATCCTGCAAGCTGAAGCTCTTCCATGATACCTGCTTCGCCTATGACATAAACCTACACAGAGAAAAAAGAGACCCCACTTACTAAAACTAGCTAGCTACCAAGATGGGCTATGAAACGCAACAGTATAGAGTAAAAATAAGAAATCTGGAAGGATTACAATCATGCATCTGGGAAATGAATTCTTTAAACATGATCAACAAATCTTCTAATCCTACCCACGCTGTTGTTTCTTTCAAACAGAATTGTAGTTATTGCAATCAAATCAATACATAAGAAATATAAATTTGAAACGACAAAGAACACAAGAAGCACGATGCGGGAAAGACAACCTTCTTTTCTGGAGAGAAATTATTGACTTTCAAGAACATGGCAGCAGCAAAAGAGGAGGAAAATATTTCATCCTACAAAAGAAGTCATGAAGACAACAATTTAGACAATAGGAGAGAGAGCTTTTCCAATTCTAATCGACGAGACTGACCTCTGAAACAGAGATTCCAAGTGAATAGAACTTCTTCGCATATTGCCTTCTTGACTTGGACGAATTGTTGGTGACAAAAACCAATTTCTTCCCCTACAAATGCACGACACTTCCAGTCGAAACAAGAATCCATGGTTCGAATGATCATAATAAGATAACGAAAAGTGTACCTTAGACCGAAGCATTTCAAGCGTATCAACGACGCCATCAACCAACTTATCGCCCTTCCATATAACACCTAACCGATCAAAAACAAAATCATGCAATCGAGTAAACATTAAAGATGAAGGAAGCGGAAATAGAAAATGAAGAATACCATCGCAATCAAAGAGAAAGGCCTCGACGGAATCGATCAGATCCCGGGCATTGCCGGTGGAAAGCAGCTGGGGTTCGGAGGTTCTTTCGACTGAACTCATACCTCCAGGACAACAGTCTCCGGGTACGGCAGCGAGTGGCAATCGAATGGCTGTCGTGTTCTTGGAGAATTATCCGGTGATTGGTTCGTCCAATTTGGAAAGTGCAGTTGCGCAGAGATATTTTCATTTTCTTATTACCCTAAACCGCTGTCGAGGGCGGCGAAACACAGTGGAGATTCCTTTTTTTTTTCAAATTTAAATACTCCATATTTTATGATACTGTAATTTAATTTAAAATTTCTTAAAAAAATTAATGTGGAGAATAAATTATAAATTAAAGTTCTAAAAGTATGGCCTAGAAAGAGTATTTCGAATAATTCAATCATGGTAGTTTATTAAATTTGATTCATAAGCTATGGTTACTTTACGATCGAGTTTGATCATTGGATTAATCTTCTCCAGAACGATTGATTCATTTCTATTATTATTATCGTCGTCGTCATCATCAAGGCATGACTCTATGTGTCTATATTTTGTTCGGGTATGTGAGATCTCACATCAATTAGAGAGGAGAACGAAGCATTCTTTGTCAAGGTGTGGAAATCTCTCCCTAAAACACACGTTTTAAAATCGTGAGATTGACGACGATAGGTAACAGGCCAAAGCGGACAATATTTGGCAGTAGATTTGGACTGTTACAAATGGTATTAGAGGCCGACACCATACGGTGTATCAGCTGTGAGATCCCACGTTCGTTGGAGAAGGGAACGAAGTATTCCTTATAAGGGTGTGAAAACCTCTTCATGGTAGAGGATTTTAAAAACACGAGGCTGATTCCTTATAAAAGTGTGGAAATCTCTCCCTAAAAGACCAGTAGGCTCAAATGGTATCAGAGCCCGACATCAGACAGTGAATCAGCTATGAGAACCACGTTGGTTGGAGAAGGGAACGAAGTATTACTTATAAGGGTGTGAAAACCTCTTCCTAGTAGAATATTTTAAAAACACGAGGCTGATTTCTTATAAAAGCGTGGAAATCTCTCCCTAGAAGACGTATTTTAAAATTATAAAACTAACGTGTATACGTAATATACCAAAGTTCACAATATCTACTAGCGATAGACTTGAGCTGTTACAGGATCTTTACTATGAATTTTTATATCTCATATTGTTATAGCTATAATTAAATATACTCGAATATCGTCGAACTGAAAATACATGAGTTCGAACTTTTTATTTCTAGTACTCCAAAGCTCGCTCTAAGCAAAATTTGTTCGTTTTTTAAGTTTAACAACATTCACACGAAGAATCAAACTTTTGGGTTTTTAGTCGAGATTACAGATCCTTAACTAATCAAATCACAGCCAAAATTTTCGTTAATCTTCGTAGAATTTTGAGATCATGACCCTTCTACCCTTCCAGTCCGTACATCAATCCGTTCATATCAACAAATATATAAAAACAACTTAAACGAGACTCGTTAAAACCTTTATTCAAAACATTGAGTAGAAAGCCGATAAAAATTAGGGGGTATTTGGAAACATGATTAGGGTGCATTAATTAATTAGGGAGCGGGTTGGTAATAAAGCATTAATTAAAGGAAACCAAATATAATCTCACTTTAATTAATTTGATTAAGAGTTTGTTGGAGAAGGGCCCCTTTTTTCTTCCTTAAAGTTAAAGGCTTAAAGCACCCAATTCCAAGTGATACCCCAATGAGCCAGACAATCTTATGTGGTTGCCCCCCACCAATCCAAATCTCTTTCTTATTTTAATATTCACTTTTTTTTTTTATTCGTGTTATTGATAAAATCTCACTAAATATGTTCGGGATTCAAACCTTTGAAACGCTAATAATGTCCCATGTCCCGAACTCGACACCTAATGCCCTAAACATTCCCCTGCATCTCTTTTGACACAGTCACGTTATCTACTCATCACTTCTTAAGAGTAAACACTAATCCCACAAACCAACACGAGTCCTTCCATCATGTTTTATCCTCACTTACGTGCTTCTAAAAAAATTTATAGGAGGTCACCTGTAAAACGGGAAGTGTATCTTGTTAGTATATGTAGCGAATTTAAGTTTTTTTAAGTATTTTTTAGTCATCATAATTGCTGGTGTAATTAATTATAAATGGTACATTAAATTTATTAATATTATATTATTTGGTCACGTTGGAGTTAAATATATTAAAAAATATATAAAGTAAAAATATTTTAAATAATTAATTTTTTAAAAAACAACATAAGCAAAGCTAAATCATTAATGTGAAACAATTAATTATGATACACAAACCAGAAAGCATTAATAGTAATTAGAAGGATAAACTTTTGAACGGGTCGCATAAATTTTGAAAATTTATTATAAATAAATAAAATTAAATTAATCGTTGTTAGGTGACAAAAAAGAATATCAATAATAATGCGGAATTTTTGTTATAAACGTTACCAATCGACACAATAGCTACCCACCCGAGCAAAACTCGTCTCTGAGTCGACCTACTCAAGGCAGTTGTGGTAGTTGGTGGCGAACTCAATAAAGAGAAAACAACAATTGTTGTAGTCATGAAGATCGAAGAGTAGATGAGGAAAAATAAAAATAACATAGAAATATATTTTTCTTTATTTTTTCTCAATTAATTAAAATATTATAATATTGATGAAAAAATAAAAAATTAAAATTACGTCTATAAAAAAGACAAGGGCTGTAACGACTCAGACCCACTGCTAGCAGATATTGTTCTCTTTGAACTTTTCCTTTCGTGGTTCCCCTCAAAGTTTTAAAACGCGTCTTCTAGGAGAAGGTTTTCATACCCTTATAAAAGGTAGGTTTTCATACCCTTATAAAGGGTGTTTTGTTTTCCTCCTCAACTAATGTAGGACATCACAACCCACCCCCTTTTGGAGCCCAGTGTCCTCGTTGGCACTCGTTCCTTTCTCCAATCGATGTGGGACCCTCTCCAAATCCACCCCCTTTGGGGGCCCAACGTCTTTACTGGCATACCGCCTCGTGTCTTCCCCCCTTCGAGGAACAACGAGAAGGCTAGCACATCGTCCAGTGTCTGGCTTTGATACCATTTGTAACGCCTCAGAGCCAGACCATCGGACGATGTGCCACTGTGATGTCCCACATTGGTTGGGGAGGAGAACAAACCACAATTTATAAGAGTGTGGAAACTTTCCATTAAAAGATGTATTTTAAAAGCCTTAAGGGAAAACCCAAAGAGGACCCCGAAAGGGAAAGCCCAAAGAGGACAAAATCTGCTAACGAATATGCTAATGGATCTGGACCGTTACAAGGACATTGTTATGAAATTATTTCTATGGATGTTCCGACATCTCATAATAAAAATAACATTATATGTTGCGAAATATATTAATGTCGGTGAATATTGTGACAATTAGGTTGATGATGCTTTAATAATTTTTTGAAGAGGCAAAAATCATAAAAATTATAAAATATTAGAAAATAAGAGACATGGTTGGAGTCAAAACTATAAAGCCTAATTTCCCTATGAATTTTAGGCTAGCACCTAGGTTGCAATAATCAAATTAAATAATGAAAAAATTAAAAATAGAATCGGTGGGTCATGGAATACGTAAATAGAATTCGAATTCTGCAAGCTTCCATGATTTTGAGCGATCAAATCAATGATGAAATTGTGAGAAAGACGATGGAAAGGGGGTTGTTCTGCACGAAGTTCACGCCGCCGCGGGAAAATGGCCGTCGTCGCCTGCGGGTAGGCGGCGATGCGGCAGTTCCGCGCGCGCATGGAGAAATTAGGCGACACAAGTTGAAAAGAAAGAGAGAGAGTTGTCTGTGATTGGCCTCCGAAACCACCAACAAAAGGAAGAGTAATCCAACGTCAGAGTGATAAATCCGGCGACACGTGGCCGACATGCAGATCAACAAGAACCAACCAGCGATTAATGGAAGAAGAATCAGCGGAGATAGTGGGGGGAATCATGATGAAGGCTGCCATTGGCGATCTTTCAATCTCCAGAATCACAGGGACCCAGTAAACTCCCTTTTTCCCTCTCTTAGCTATAGAGCATTAAATCCCAAAGCCCTAACCCCACCTCCGCAATTTGTTTTCGTTTTTGTTTTTCCCTGTCTCACTTTATAATCTCGATTCGATTCCGTTTCAAATTGAGCTTAATTTCTGTAGTAGATCAACGAGAACTATTCTCTGTATATGGGAATTATTTCAGTGCATATCAATGTTCTTGATCTTGATTATGCATGATTTATTTGTTGATTCAATCATGGATCAGAACACCATTTTGCTCTAACTTTTTCATTACATTTCCGTTCTGTATATCTTCAAGCGGTTAATGATGGCGTTGCGTTAGATTATTACTAGGTTGACTAATCAGGAGATTCCAAACCCATGTCCCTCTCCTTGTCCCCATGCACTCAATACCCAATTTGCCTTTACTTGGCGTGCCTCACCAGTAGATTTTTAACACCCATTTTTTCCATCATAAAATCTGAATAAATCAGCTTCTGATTCCCAAACCCTTTTCACCATTGAGCCATTCTCATCTTCTGCATCATAACATATGGCGCTGTGTTGTTGAATCTGAATCAGAAAAGCTTTTTCAGCTGTTTCGTCCGATCACTTGGGGCTTTGTTTGGTGCTTCTGCAGCTTTTCCTGTTCGCTTTCCTTTTTTCTGGAATTGGTAAATGTTCTTATCTTTTCTTTTTGATAGATTTAATTTGTGAGCTCTCATCTCTTCTTCTTGCTGGAATTGGACTTGTGAATTTGGTCGATTAGTAAAGTAAAGTAAGTGGGTTTTAAACAAAACCCATTTACTTTAATTGAATCTTCAATTAAGCTGAGATACCTTCCATTTCTCTTCTGTTTTACACATAAAACTACCTTTAATCTTACTATGCTTGGTCTGGACGTTTTCAGAATGTTTCCAATAGAGTATGGACAAAACAGAACAAAGCAAAAACTTTGTCGAGAATCTATCAAATCAACATTGAAAAGAAAAGAAAAGAAAAGAAAAGCATGGACTTACAATGCGCATATTCCATATATGACTGTATATCCCTTTGAGAGAAGAACCTCAGAGAACTTTTTCTTCTGGAAAAGTAATGAGATATCTCTCTGTAACCCACTGTTTAACACCATTTGTCTGTGAAAACGCAATCTTTGATTTATTGCTAAGTCAGATTGCGAATAATCAATTGTGGGAAGGCATTTTCTCTTGTCTTATAGGTGTTATAACAAGGATACTGGATTCTTTTCCTCCGTTCTTCTTTTTTGGAGCAACAGTAGCTTTGCACTTTTTTGGACTTACCGTTCTCCTTTTCACTTCTTTAAAGTCCATATTCCTTTTTCCTCTCTTATCGTCTCTTCTTTTTGTAAGTTTTGAAGTTTTGAAGTCTTGTTTCTTCCGTTTTTATAATTGGGTCGATACATGTTTGTTGTTTGGTTCTTAATGCAATGCTCCTGCATCAATTAAGTCATTTTCCTCCATTGTGACCTCTTCCAAGTTGGACTGTTCTGGCCGTTGTTCTTCCAATTGGTTCTAATTCTTCTTAGTTTCCGTTTTTCATAGCTGGATTGCCTATATCCACATGTTTTTAGTTTCTTCTTTACTTAATGTTACCAACATTTCTGTAGAAAAATTTATATCCGCTGCACACAGCCACTATTTTTCACTCTCGCATTTATTTTGCAGTACATGCCAATGAATCTGGTTGGTTTAGAACAGTTTAGATCATATTCAAATCATTGTATTCCATTGTTCTATGCATTTTGTACTGTAGAGCACAGATAACTCCAATAGCAAACTGTTGTTGGCTGTTCTTTATTATAATACCTCATTCAGCCAACGTAGTTGAGAATTGACTGTAGCTTTTTGTATATGAAAGGGGCTCTGTAGTTAAATACCGGAGACTGATGAAAAGAAAAGGCAATTGTAGAAATGAAGTTTATGAAATTGGGAACGAGGCCTGATTCCTTCTACTCAGAAGCAGCTACCAGGTATCATTTCAAAATCACCCTCCAAGAACGAACACTCAAACTGGCTTGACTAAACACGTATTGGTTACACTGCAGGACGGTTCTTTCCGACGTCCCCGGCAATATTGTTATATGCATCGACAACGTTAGTTACCTTCTCCACAAGGTAGTGCCTCGACGTTGGTCGATTTCTTGTTACGTTTCATAATTGAGGATGACATATCTAAGCTCTTATACCGACACGTTTCACTCGTTATGTAGCTTTTATTTTCTTGATATGACCTTTAACTCCAAAAAAAGATGGGATTTTCTGTTTACCCGGATTTTTTATTTTCTGGTTTGCTTACAGTTTCAGCTTCTACCAAAGTGTGGCCTCTTGCAACATCTCTGCCCTGAATCGGGAGATTCTAACATTGCCACTATTGAGCTTCATGATGTTCCCGGAGGTGCAGAAGCATTTGAACTCTGTGCTAAGTTTTGTTATGGCATGACCATTAATATCAGTGCCCATAATCTCGTACCCGCATTATGTGCTGCTAAGTTCCTCCGCATGACTGAAGCAGTGGAGAAGGGCAATCTTGTTCTGAAGCTCGAGGCTTTCCTCCACTCATGCATTCTTGTTGGCTGGAAGGATTCCATTGTTACCCTACAAAGCACACTGAAGTTACCTGAATGGTCTGAGAATCTTGGAATTGTCCGGAAGTGCATCGATTCAATTGTCGAAAAAATCCTAACACCACACTCGAAGGTTAATCAGTGTTCTTACTTTCTTAATGTTGAAGCATCATTTGCCCCAAAATTCGAAGTTATTGATTTTGTACAACCATTAGTTTATTCATTCAATAGTTCAAGAATGAGTGTTCAATACTACGAGATCCCATGTTGGTTGGAGAGGGGAACGAAATATTCCTTATAAGGATGTGGAAACCTCTCCCTAGTAGACACGTTTTAAAAATCTCGAGGGAAAGTCCAAACAGGACAATATCTGCTAGCGGTCTTTGAATCAGCTACTGACATAAAGATGATTCCTTGCAGGTATCATGGTCCTACACTTATACAAGACCAGGTTACACGAAAAAGAACAGTCAAAGTGTCCCAAAAGATTGGTGGACTGAGGATTTGTCAGATCTCGACATCGAATTGTTTCGCTGCATAATTTTGGCTGTTAGATCTACATACATTTTGCCACCACAACTTATTGGAGAAGCCCTGCACGTCTATGCCTGTCGTTGGCTACCTGACACTGCAAATGTCAAGCCTTCAGAGACGAAGATTACAAAGAGCAAAGAAGATCTGGAAAAGAATCGACAAATTCTCGAGAAAATAGTCGGCATGATTCCTTCAGATCGTGGGTCGGTTTCAGTTGGCTTCTTGCTCAGACTCCTTAACATAGCAAACTATCTCGCCGTGTCATCAACGACAAAAACTGAACTAATCCGGAGATCGAGTCTGCAGTTTGAGGAGGCAAAAGTGAGTGACTTGCTCTTTCCTTCACAGTCAACCTCCAATACACACTTCTATGATGTTGACTCTGTTGTGGCTGTGTTGGAATGTCTTCGTGCGCTTTGGCGAAGGCAATACTCTGGGGCTGCAGAAAACAGCCATTTCTTGAGATATATTAGAAAGGTGGGGAAGCTTGTCGATTCATATCTACGAGTTGTCGTGATGGATATCAATATGCCCGTATCTAAAGTGATACAACTCGTCGAAGCCCTGCCAGATATCGCTCGCCCTAACCATGACGATCTTTACAAAGCCATAAACATGTATCTCAAGGTAACATATTACTCAAATAGTTTAGCTAGCTTATGACATCTCTTACTTCATTGATTGGTAAAACATGTTCTAATGGCAAGCAGGAACATCCTGATTTGAGCAAGGCGGATAAAAAGCGCCTTTGTCGAATTCTAGACTGCCAAAAGTTATCATCAGAAGTCCGCGCCCATGCTGTTAAGAACGAGCGATTACCCTTGAGGACTGTTGTGCAGGTCCTGTTCTTTGATCAAGAACAGGCAGCAATCACCACTGACAATCATGGTAAGCTGAAACCAGATATCGACAATGGTGTCGAGAAAGAAGCGAGAGACCGAACTGGCTTCTCTGAAATCAGTGAGAGGGATGGACATAGAACAAGAAGAACAGATGTGAAGCTGCTGCCGGCGGCTGAGAAGGAAATGAAAGATGATAGATCAGAATTTGATGTGAAGTCTGTGAAGAGTAGTAGGACTCGAGAGATGAGCAGGGAAATCAAGTCGTTGAGCAAGTCAGAGTCTAAGAAGATGGCACCAAAGGGAAGCAGATCAGATCATGGTGGTGAACAAAGACAGGTAAAAAGATGAACATCAAAAGACACCATTTTTTTTTTCATCGCAGTTTGTTTATTTTTTTCTATTATGGTTTCATTTCTGTTCTACTGTTCTTGATCTAATGCTCAAAAACATGTTTTTCATAGCTTTAATATAGGCAACTCTTGTCAATTGGGCAATTACAAAATTTCTATCTATTAAACTGTAATAATATCCCATTTCTTGTGTGAAACAGTATGTGCGAACAATGTTATAGGGGCGTACATGAGTTGGGTTGAGTCGAAGAAATTTTTTGGACCAATCCGAAAGTTTTTATATATTTACGATTTATTTGATTGTAACGTAAAATAATATATAAAATATATTAAAAGTTCATAAACAAACGAACAAAATTTTCGTCAAATAACAAATGAAAGTTGTAACATCTTAACTTGTACAAGAATATATTCTAAAATTTAAAATTAAAAAACAATAGAAATAATCGGTTTAAAAAAATTATGCATAAAAAAAACTTTAAAATATTTTATTTACGTTAAAAAATTTATATATATGCATAAAAAAAAACAACTTTAAAATATTTTATTTACATTAAAAAAAATTATATATAAATGGAATGGAACAGAAAGTATACAAAATATTTTAACCTAAAATCAATTTAAACATTAAATATAAATTTAGTGGCTTTTATGTTATAAAATTATTTTGATTAATTTGTGTCTGATTCCATATTGGTTAATTGTATTCTAATTTTAGTAAATTTACTATTTAATAAATCTTTACATTATTTATTATTATTATTTAAAAAAAGAAAAGAAAACTAATCCCTATCAACGTTTCCTTAAAAAAATTGTGAAAATGATTATTTAACTAATTTTGATTAAAAAATTTATTAACCTAGAAGTGTAAATATGATTTTTATAAATTTAAAATTAATTAAAAAATTTCATAATTAAAATAGAATAAAATTAAGGTAGAAAGAGAAATTTGAATATGGTAAATAGTTATAATAAAAATATACACGTTAATAATTATTTAAAAGAAAAACTAATTATTTACACGATAAAATAATTCCAATTTTATTTATGTTAATTAAATAACAGTTCCCTCCAAAACATTTCACAAAATACACGTTATTATGATTTTTAATCATTTAAATTAAAAAATATTTATTTTTCTATAATTAAAAAAAAAAAATCTGGAATTTACTCCGTATTAATACAAAACTTGATTTTTTGAGGAAAAGGAGGATTAGTTAGCCATGGATCAGAATCACGACTCAAATTCGCCTTCAACCTGCAACGGTTTCTCTCTCCGGATTTTTTAAAGGTAAAACGAGAAGATCCCTACTCTCTTTCGCTGTGTTCATCTTCCTTTCCAGCCTTTTGTGATGGTGATTTCTCGTTTCCTTTTTGGCGTTATTAATGCAATCTTTTTTTTTTTTTAGTTCTTACTTTTGCTTTGAAACCCTAGTTTTCTGCAACATGTTACTGCTCGATCGATTGTGTTCTTTTTCTGATTGAGAGGCTTCCGTCTTGGATTGTTCCTTATATCGGATTTGTTCGCTATCGTGATTGACATTGCGTTTAGGGAATATTTGAATGAAATTGTAATTCGGTCTCGTTTATTTTCATTTTGGTTATTATTCAACAAGATTCATTGCTTTGACGTTGCTTTACTGACGAGAAGTTGATGTTGATTTGGAAATGGAGGATAAATTTTTTTAGCAATCTGAATCGTAAAAATTGTCATTAATTATTATTATTATTATTTATATATATTTTTTTGCAATGATAAATCGTGTCTGTTTTATGAAATCATGCTGTGTAGTGAAGAGATACCGTGATTAATTGTCGTGTTCTTTAGTCTGTGAGCTTGTTTGAACAAAATTGTTCAAATATTTTTTTTTACTATTGGCGCAGGTATGGAGTGTTTTGACATCTGTAAAAGAACATGGTTCAATGCCTAGAGGGAATAAGGCATTTCTGTGCTGCTGTAGCGACCTGCTGTGATGCAGATACGTCTAGGCGACCCAGGGGCCTTCAAGATCCTGAGGCTCTTGCAAGGGAGACAGTATGTATGTTTCTAGAATTTTCAGTCTTGATGCCTGACACTATCATATTTCTGATTTATTGGCGTGGATATTTGATTCGATTTCATATTTTGTTTTTCATATGTTAAGTAATTTGTACTTTTCTTTGTTTTTTTATTGTTCTTCCCTTTTATTCTTTGTTTCATACTGGATTCATTTGTGTTGATAAGACCTTCACTCTTTTATTTGCTTGTAAATTTTGGCAGTCATAAGCTGTTTGTTTTCTCTATCGCAGTCAGTGTAAGTGAAATAGAGGCATTGTACGAACTGTTTAAGAAGATCAGTAGTGCAGTGATTGACGATGGGCTGATAAATAAGGTTTATTTCATTATTTTAATTAGTGTCCCCATTAATGTTGTGTTTTCAATCGTGTTGCAAGAAGATACTCTGTTAATGTTTGAGCTACACTTTCTCTTGCTTTGTTCTGACTCTCTCACTGTATTATACTGCAGGAAGAATTTCAATTGGCACTGTTCAAAACAAACAAAAAAGAGAGCTTATTTGCAGATAGGGTAACCTTATCATTTACAATTGAACCTTTGGTTCTATTCCCATACCCACTATAATTTGACTGGCCTGGACGGCCCTTTATATTTTATTTGATTCTTTTACCTACCAATGAAGTTAAATGGTCCTAAGATTCTAATCAATCTCCAGTTCCTGCATATAAATAATTGAAATTAAGGTATCTAGCCATACATTTTTATGAATAAAGTGTTGTACAGTGTGACCACTATGTGTCATTTGATGGAAATATACTTGATTATTTTGTCAGTTTGCAAGGTTTCTCATTGTTTTACTTTTTATATTTAGCAACTCTTTTGGACTAGTTACCTTATGCGTGTGTGCTTGTTGTCATCGTTGTGTTCTCAGAACAGTAGTTATATGCCTGCATATCTGTGGTTCAATCAGTTAGAACAATTAGAAAAGACTAAAGAACAATTAAAGTGTCCTGTTTTAATCAGATTCTTTTCAAATTGTTTGTATGGGGGTTTGGTTTGTGCTTCCTGAGAGCTGATGTATACACTATTTTAGCACTTCATTATCTTATCAAATTGCCTGGTACCAAATGTTGCACTCATTTGCTAGCTGGTTGCAGGATTTTACCACTTACAACTTCTGTAATGCAACGTTATAGGTTTTTGACCTGTTTGACACAAAGCACAATGGGATACTTGATTTTGAAGAATTTGCACGGGCTCTTTCTGTCTTTCACCCGAATGCCCCCATTGATGATAAAATTGAGTGTAAGTTTTTAATGTCAATTTTCACATGTACCTCTACCAAGGTAACTATTACACTATTATATTTTATTCATGATTGTATCCCTCTGTTGTATTATGTACATTCCATTAGAAAGGGAAAGCAACTAATGGTGTTTTATGGTTGTTGGATTTAATTTCTTGGTGTTACCTTTTCTTATCATTCTGGTTTGATTATCTTGTGATCTCATGTTGATAATAATTTGCAGTTTCATTCCAATTATACGATCTTAAACAGCAAGGATTTATTGAGAGACAGGAGGTAACTTCACCAATGCCTTCTTTATCCTTATTTGAACAATAACATTGCATGGATGCTGACCACTTTCAAACTGATTGTTATATCAGGCTACCCTTTTTAATGGATGATTGTTTGGGAACATTTTACATAGATGATGCCAATTGATCTGTAAAGTTTGTCAATTATGCATTTTATCGTCTACCCCCTTGGATCTATTAGAGAAGGATGCCCGATTCTTTTGATGAAATCCAGTTTTTAATTCTTCTTAGTATGTCAGCTAAATAAGTCAATTTTTTTTTTCTTCTTTGCTGCTATATGATCAGAAATGGTTGGAATTGAATTTTGATTGTTGGGTTGTTGACTTTGTAGTTTCTAGTTTCGAGGCATAGACTTATTTCATGACAGCCAACAGCCTCTTTGCCATTACAGTGTTGGAAATCTTTAATTTTATTCTTGGAGTTAAAATTGAAATGTCAAATTGCATTGATGAAGATTATTCCACTTAAAGTTTATGGTTTTAATATGAGGTTGGGTTAAATAATTTTTTTTTTGAATCCCTCCATGTTCTATACTATCATACTATTGCCATATGGTTACTATTCCCGAAATGGTTTGCTCAATAATTGTAGTCTTTTATACAATAAAATGTTGTGTAGGTAAAGCAGATGGTTGTGGCTACGCTTGCTGAATCTGGCATGAATTTGTCAGATGATGTTATAGAAAGTATCATCGATAAGGTTCTCTTCGTAATCTGTTTACTTCTGACACATTTAGTGTTTTTGTAGTCAACTGTAAGGGAATAATAATGGCTTTCTATTGCATTACCTTCAATATTATTTAACTATTGGGCCTTTTAACTTTCAATTGTCCAATCTGCTGAATGTCACACTTTTTCTATCGATGTTTCGTTTTTCACTACGATTCTAGACCTGCTGAGTTATAGTTGATTGATATGTGAACACTTACTTTTCTGATACATGAACATGTCTCTATTGGTTACTGCTTGCTAATATCTAAGTGCCAATCTTGAGTGGGAGAAAATATGTAAGATTTTCAAAATACATAATAATTTAGACTCGAGAAACAATACGAAGCTGTTCTCTAGCAGATGCATTCTCGGTCCTGTCTTCTAAAGGGATTTTCTTTTATATTGACACGAGGAACATTGATAAAAGTGTAAAGCATTTTTTTAGAATTTATACCTTTGGAGTTTGTTGACTTTTTTTTTTTCTATCGATGCTTCCTTTGTTGCATGTGTCTATCAGGTGCAATTTTTTGTGCTGTCTATTAAAATTAAGCTATAGCTTAAGTGGCTGCAGATGTGTTTCTGTTTTTGAAATTATAACTGGATGTCTCCTAATTATGCAGACATTCGAAGAAGCTGACACAAAACACGATGGTAAGATTGACAAGGAAGAGTGGCGAAACCTTGTTATGAGGCATCCATCCCTTTTGAAGAATATGACACTCCAATATCTCAAGTGAGTGAGCTGTATTTTCCAACTTTCCCCATCAACCAAGAGGGTGTTTAGAGTGTTTATAGAAGGACTAAATGCGTTTTATTTTTCAAAATCTGTCGTGAAACTAAACGTACTTTTTGACGAAACACTTGGGATTTCTAAGCATTTAATCACTTTTCTTTTGAAGTGATTGCTGAAAATGTTTTAAAACACTTTTTTTCCAAAAGGTGTCACGGAAGAATCATCATGAGATGAGATTGGCTGACTAGCTGTCTTTGTTCATCTTGTCCTCACTCTATTGCCAAGTTGTTTTACTCTCTTTGTGTTGGCACTGGCAGGGATATCACGACCACGTTCCCAAGTTTCGTGTTTCATTCGCAAGTTGATGATACGTGAGACGTCTCTCATTGTGGAGTTTCATTGGTACAGGTCAAATGACTGTTTACTTGCAAGTTTTTTTTTTAAATTTGATTGATGTGATTGCAGTTGTTTCTTTCTTTCTTTCTTTCTTTTTGTTGAACGAAAATGGGAAATTTCCTGTCCTGCTCGCATCTCCTTTGTGAATCAGAGCCCAGTTGAGCAAAATTCTGAGTATAAATTGTAGTTAGGCTTGTGATGTTAATGTGTATTTTTGTATTTTTTACATTTTGGTTTGTACAATTTTATTTGTTTCTTCTTTAAACTCGTCAGTTCAATTTCTAAATGTGATGGCGGTACGAACATGAAAGTTCATTTCATTCACCAATAATTAGCAGTATTATCAATTATTTATTTGAATTTATCGATATTCTATATTATGAATATTGAAGTTGGAATCAGTAATATATTTATACGTGATGTAATTGTTGCTTAACACTAGAAGAATATGAGTGGCTATAGTAATTCTATTGTTTTGTTATATATTATTAAATATAATTATAATAGTTTAATTTCTATATTTAAATAGTACTATGATATGCGTTTCAGGAAAAAAGAAAAAAAAAAAAACTAATATAAATTTTGTTAAAGGGTGTCTTTGTCGTTTAGTACCAATTTGTTTAAACAATATTGTTAATAAATTGAAATATATTAACATTCTTCCTAATTTTGTTGGATTCAATACCATAATATTTTTTTGTATATTAATAATTTTAATTTTAATAAGCGCTCAATTGATTTTAGATATATTCCTTCAAAAAAAAAAAAAAAAAAAAAGAAGTAATTCCCACAAATATCTGTTTGTAAAATTGGGAAAATTAAAAATTCTTGTAAAAAATTCACTTCGATATTTTAAATATTACAATAATATTGAATTCAAGTAAAAATTATAGTCCTTAAGAAAAAGCGTATAATTTAGATAAATTTTTTTTTCGTTTTTTAATTTTAATTTTAATTGAATATACTGGTAATTCTAATTGGACTCTCTCCTTTATTTAATCCACGAGAATTGAAAGTTGAAAGCAGGCTCGTCGGTTCTCTCATTTTCCGATCATCCAACCAGGCTCGTCGGTTCTCCGTATTTCTCTGTTTGTTGTAGGAAAGATTATTTGAATTCTTTAATGTTTCAGTTTCGAATGCTTTCGTGTTCGTTTTTCTGATGTAGATTTTGCTTGGAGAGCTTAATCGAAGTGAAAGCGGGGAAACAATTTCCAGTGATGTCGGAGATAGGAGAAAAGGGTAATCCACTGCCAAGAAAACCTGGAAAGTCTTCGCTCAAGTCCTCTTTCAAGGATGGTTCGTATTGTTAATGTCTTTTGAGTCTGTGCAATAATTTACACCCCAATTACTCATGGCTTCGAGCTTAATGCATCTTGAATTCACTTGCCAAATTAATTCTCAATCTTCTTTTTCTTTCTCTGTTCAACCAAGATTTTGTTCTGTGAATCACTTGGATTTTAAAGCTACCATCAGCACTGTTCGTACAGAGCTGAAAATTTGTCCAGGTTTCCATGGATTATGCATGCAGTTTGCTAAATGGATCATAGGTCACAGGAATACATAGTGATGTTTTCTATGGAGCTGGGCATTTAAACGAACTAGATCAGGATTGGGATAATTAAGCATGATTGGAAATTCTTTTGTTTGCTGAATGTATATCAAATGCTTCCTGACTTGTTGCATAGCTTCTCTAAAAGGAAAGGATGATAGTCTGTTAAAGCCAAAGAAGGGAAGGAAAGTCCAGTTCGATGCTCAAGGTCAATAGTCATTTTTACTTTTTGTGTTATACAAATCACTTGATGTGCCAGTGTTCTATATGTTCTTCAACAAATTGCCTGTCAGAATTCATGTGCTTATTATATAAAACTACTTAATTCGGAAGTACTTGTACTCATACAGGATCTGTTGATGCGCAGATTAATTTTTCAATGAAATACAGTGGCAAAAATGGTACCAGTTTTAGATGTTCATTTTATTTTTATCTTTCTACTGTCTTAACTTCATAAGCCTATTATTTGTTATTTTGATGTTAATGCAATTCATTGACTTTCTCTCCTTTCCAATCTTGGCTTGTAGGTGACTTGGGTAAAGGAGGAAAAGGCGGAAAAGGCGGAAGTGGTGCGAAGGAACCCCAGCCACTAGAATTGAAGATTGAACAAGGTGGGTACTGCCTTGACTTTGAGTATGGTTTTATTTGGTAAGAATATAATTATACTTATATGGTCATCAATGTATTTATTTTTACTGTTATTCATATCATGGAAGATCAGTATTGCCTTACCATTTATGAAAATCAGTATTGCCTTTACCTTTTCTGTTTCGAGGCCGTATTTTTTTGTCTGTTCCTGCTGGGATAAGTGATTGGTGTCAGTATGTCTCCTATTATGTTATTTGTTCCATGGTATCTGTATGCTGTTCAAATTGTGCTGTTTTGGTTTAAATTGGTGTGCAGAACTTCCCAAGAATGTTAAATGCCAATGCCTTATGGACTGTGAGGCTGCACAAATTTTACAGGGAATCCAAGATCAGATGGTTCTTCTATCAGCAGATCCAACCATAAAAATCCCAACGTAAGTGAATGCTATTAACTATTTATTTGAAAGAAGAAATCCGCATGCTGACAAACTTGAATTGCTTTTATCTTAGACCATTTGATAGGGGGTTGCAATATGCCAAAAGAGCCAATCACTACGTAAATACCGAGTCAGTTAGACCAGTTCTCGAGTATCCTTGATCTGATGAATAGGCCATCAAATTATATTGTTAATTTCTTTGTATCTCTTTTTATGGATGGAAAAAATTTACATACTGCAGTGGAAGTGTGCCTTTTACCAATCCAGCACTCCTGGTGTGCTGTATAGTGCTCTTTTCATTCTATCTAATCCATTCTGTTGACTCCTTAACTGAATGTTTTAGAACCCTCAAGAAATATGGCGTAATGGACAGTGAGGTAGCTATCTTTACATCCTTTCTTGCCTTTTCTAAAATTGATTCTTTCGAGTGATGAACTGACTCGATATTAATATTAATTCAGATGTGTGTGCTTGCTAATGTCTGCCCAGACACTACTGATGAAGTTTTTGCTCTTCTTCCATCCTTGAAGGTACGGTATAAGTTTTTAAAATTTCTATATCTTACATCGCCCTGTCATATAACATAGTTAAAACACCTACTGAGTTTCTGCCCACCTAAGCCTAGCTCGCCCCTATCTCTAAAGTTCGTAGACAAAGCTCGTTCTATACTTAATTTAACTGGTTTAGGCAATGTACTCTTGATCTAAAGGCTAGAGATTTTTCTCTTGTTGAACTCAAAGAACACATATTTAGTTTCTACGCTTCAATTCTTTTATTGTTTTAGTGTATACAAAATACAAGTGCTTTTAAGGACTTATGAAATACATTTATATATATGTTGTCAAAAACTGTAAAAGCTTGATAAGTATGCTTTATTAGTCAGACCTTTTAAAGATGCTTCTTACACACCAATAGTGGTCCGTGGTCCTTCCTAGATGGGTCCGATTGGTCATGCATCATAGCAATTTTGTTCCTATGATTATTACTTTTTAATTTATTTTGACAAAGCAGAGCAAAAGAAGCAAGCTGAGTGAACCTCTCAACAGTGTCTTGAGAGAGCTAGCCAAGGTAAAATCATCCTGAAGTCATAAGATCAATTACTTCTCCGGTTGACTTCTCCCCTTCCTGTGAAGATTGTTTTATGGGATTTGAAAATTAGGACCTTTTCTTTTCAATGGTATTCACTAGATATCGCTTCGGGGAGGCAAGCATTAGCCCATTGGAATATTTTGTTCTTCAAAGATCTGTATTTGCCGTAGTGTAGAAATGTGGGTTACTTTGCTATGAATGCCTCTCTCATCTGAATCAACTCTGATGGACTGAAAATCAAACTAGAAAACCTCTATTAATTTGAATGTAAAGTGGGGATGTTAAGGGAGTAGTTTCTACTGGATGCTACTCATGTTGGGCTGTTCATTTATATTGCTAATATGCTACTCATGTTGAGGCCCCTAACCCTTTACCACAGAGGAGATGCAAGTTTGGGTCTAATTTTGGTTCAAAATATGTATAGAGTATATGTTTAAATAGTTGAATTGTACTCAAGCTGGCTGTGTAGAGTTTAGTCATGAAATTCTTACGAACTCTAACTGGTTCATGAAATTCTTACTAACTCTAACTGGTCTATCACTTTTTAGAATCACCTGTCAATCTCTCTAATTTACAAGATATATTTCGTTTCAATACTTAAAAGAGTATCTCTATAATGCTAAATTTTAATATTAAATTGAATTATAACATGTTATTTATTATTAAGGTTGAAGGTAGCAAGAAATTCTCACATAATTACTTCTAATTTTTTATAACAAGATTATAAAGACTAAAAATGTCATTGAGTGTTTGGAGTGCCCGTTGACTCTCCAATCCACTTAGAACATTCCAACAAAATATATTCATTCACTAAAAAAAAGGAAAATAAAGAACACATCAATTTTCTCACTTGAGCTTTATAAAACTAGATGATAATTGAAGCATCACTATCAATTCCGTTGAATACTACTGGGTTTCCATTTATAAAATACACCAATTCTCAACTGAATTACATATTGAATCATTCAACAGAAAGATTATTCAGAGGCTTATTTTGTATATACACTTGAGACTTTTTCATTATACAATTCTGAGAGGGAATTTGGATGATGGGTTCGTTGAAGCTTCGAATGTGTTTAATTTATTTGACTTTGATCATTTCTTGAACAGGCACGGTATCCTTCGTCATTACTTCCCATACTTGTCCCTTCAAATATGTTTTGGCATTCACTTCTGATTCTTAGACATTGTTCTTCCTGAATTGCCATATTGTTCTTCACCTCAGTAACACCTTCTTTCCCGGGTTGCTTCTTCTTTGGAGAGATTGTTAATCAAAGCAAACATCAAAACAGAATATGGGAGCAAAATCTTCTAAGAACATTCACTGCCATGTGCACATCTATGGTGATCATCGGAACCAGCCATTAAGGTGTTCTTGTGGTTATAGTCCTCCCCCAACCACCAGTCCCTGGCCTTCTTCCCCATCCCCAAGCACCAATTCCGCGCGTTCTTCCCGACCCCCGAATCCTATAATAAATGGTGACGACTTTGAATCCCTTGAACAGGTATCATTCATCTAATGTTTCGCTTTCAACATCTGTTAATTGGATTCATAAGTCCTGAATTTGATGCTGAAGTTTATTGACTTCTGCACTTGCAGGTGAGTGAAGCCCTGGAAAAGGCAGGTTTGGAATCCTCCAACTTGATCGTTGGGATTGACTTCACAAGAAGCAATGAGTGGACTGGGAAGAAATCTTTCATGGGGAGGAATCTGCATGACCTTGATGGAGCTTGTCTCAATCCCTATGAACAAGCAATATCCATCATCGGCAAAACACTCGAAAAATTCGATGATGATAACATAATTCCCTGCTATGGCTTCGGAGATGGTGTGATTTTGTGATCAAATTGTAGAATTTCATGATTCTCTGGAGAACTATCTTAGAAGTTCCATTCATTTCTCTTTTTTCTTCTGCAGTTACTACTGGCGATCGAGACGTTTTTAGCTTCCATCCGGGAGATACGCCCTGCCATGGTTTTGAGGAAGTACTCCATTGCTACAGAGAAACAGTACCTCACGTGAATCTGGCTGGTAAATCTTCCTCACTGGAATCTCCATTCCCTTCTTCCTGCTCAATTTGAATTCACTACATCTTCCGTTCCCTTGCATACTACTTGTTATATCAGGTCCGACATCATTTGCTCCAATCATCCGAAACGCCATCAGAATCGTCAACGATAGCTACGGCCAGTATCATATTCTTCTGATCATTGCTGATGGACAAGTAACTGGCTACATTATGATTGAAGTTGTTCTTTTAAAGTTGACTTATTCGTATAACTCATGTTCTCTGTGATAGGTCACAAGAAGTGTAGACACTTGTCAAGGCCACCTCAGTCCTCAAGAACAGAGCACTATTGAAGCGATTGTTGAAGCAAGGTTGGTTGAAATACATGTAAATAAGCACATGTTTGCTACATTCCCATTGCCTTTTGTAGCTTCAACTTTCATCTTCTTTATGCAGCAAATATCCTTTATCGATAATCTTAGTCGGTGTGGGTGATGGACCATGGGACCAGATGTACCAATGCGATGATCAAATCCCAGCTCGCGATTTCGACAATTTCCAGGTGAAAAGAGACGGGATAGAACTTACAGTACCAGACTCATAAGACCATTCTTTTGGTTCTATTATATATATCCTTTTCATTCTGGTGTTCATTGTCTGGTGCAGTTCGTGAACTTCACCGATATCATGTCCAAGGGTACTCCCCCATCGAAAAAGAAGACCGAGTTTGCACTGCAATGTCTAATGGAGATACCACCACAATACAAGGCAACAATGAGACTCCAACTTCTGGGGTAAATTACCAGCTGAATGTTTCAACAATGCTGCTTATCATGGTAAATCTAGTGCATATTGTTAACCAACTATCTAAACTTGTTTTACTTTCAGCCAAAAAAGAAACACACAAGGGCATTTACCTTTCCCACTGCCACGGCCTCCTCCAATCACCTATATTTCCCGCAACCATTTTCCAAACTTTAGGCGCACAGAAAGTGACATATCATCTACATCTTTCTATGGTTCCTCCTCTCCATCTCATTCAGCACTTCTCAGATCATCTTCTGTGTCTTCACCGTCGTTGTCGTTTAATCGGGTAAGGCTACACTTGAAAGAACTCTGTAACATCACATAAACACATATTGGCTAGAAACCTATGATGTTCATTCATAGAACGATCAATTTCTTAATGACCACATTGTGATTTGCAGATCTGTTCACAATGCTACATCAATGAGAAAGATCTTGCACTTGGATGTGGACATCAGGTAAATGGGAACAACTCCAAGCTGTTCTCTCTATCCTTTTTGTCCCCTTTTCAATGGTTTAGTATTAACAAGCATGTTTATTGCAGATATGCTCAGTTTGTGGTGAAGATCTCATCCTCTGCCCAATATGTCAAACCCACATAACCACAAGGATAAGATTGCGCTAACTAGCTGACAAGCCAGTTCCATGAACTCTCTGAAAGGCATTTTCTGTAATTCTGAAGTAATCGTAGCAGAAATTTGTGTGCTTAAGAACAATCAAGTGTTTGATCATTTTGATTTGTGTGTACAGAACAGAAGTGCACTTTGATTTCAAAAGATTAAAGGTATGATACAGTTACAGATATCTCCAACAACTCTTTCCAGACACAGAATCCTAAAATCTATTTCAACTAGAAATCCCTGATGAACTCCGATTTCCTGGAACGAATAGTCGAGTTTCTACAAAATCAGGCTGATTAGTGACAGATCTAACCCATGCCCATTTATGATCTCTCGTATTAACTTCATTCTTTGCTTCTGCTACATCTTTCAAAGGAATATACGAATAGTTTCCATTAATAGGGCCAGAGACAAATCCAGTATAACCAGCCATTACCCCATGAATTGCAGAATGAGCAAGCAATGTACAATAGGAGTTATCTGTAGCATTTGCAGGCACAGCACGAATCATGTAAGTAGGATCTATGTATTTAACAGTAAACAACTCACCGGGGTGCGTTCTCGCCCACCAATCTTTGAGTTCCGTCTTCAACCATCCGCCCACATCCAAGAACACCGGATTTCCAGATTCGTCCCGCTCTTCCTTTTGTGCCTCAGTTCTAGGTATTGTATCCTGTCCTGCTCCCTCTGCAACCACCAGAACCGCATGCCCATTCTCCTTCAACCTCCGCTCAAGAAACGGAAACAAACCTCCGTCGCCTTCCAAATAAAACTCCATTTCAGGTATTAAGCAGCAATCGACGTCTCGACTGCTCAATGTGGCGTGAAGAGCGATATGGCCAGTGCTTCTGCCCATCAATTTCACGAGACCTATGCCGTTCACCGCGCTCTCAGCCTCCACATGAGCGGCGCTGATTGCCTGCTGCGCCATTTCGACGGCTGTTTGGAATCCGAATGATCGGTCGATGATTCCTATGTCATTGTCAACTGTTTTCGGGATCCCGGTGACGGCGACTTGCAGATTCCGACGACATACTTCTTCGAATATCTTGACGGCGCCGCGCATTGTGCCATCTCCTCCGATTATATAGACCTAGTGAATTAATTTGCAATGAATCTCCCATTAAAACAATCCTAATTCCTAATCCAAATATGAAAATTCTTGACAACAAAACTATTGGAGAAATTAGGAAACAGAAATATTAAAGAAATTATTTAGCGTAGCCATTAGAGATATCCATTTCATCTGCTAGCCCGACAAACCTGGATATATATATAAATATATATATATATATACATACATACATACATAGATATAGATATATATATATATATATATTAGACCGATATACATACATATATATAGAGACATACATACATACATACATATATATATATATATATTAGACAGATATACATACATATATAATAGAGACATACATACATACATATATATATATATATATATATATTAGACAGATATACATATATATATAATAGAGACATACATACATACATACATATATATATACATACATATATAATAGAGACATACATACATACATATATATATATAGACAGACAGACATATTAAAACTTTAAAATAATAATAATAATAATCCTAAAGAATAAAAATTACAAATTAGACACATGGACATCTCCCGCCCCGCGACCCATTATTAAGTACCAAAAAAACATCCAAGTTTCAGTGTTGGCGCGCCAAGTGTTCCATTTTTTTAAATGACAAAGTTCAAACTAACTCTAAATTAAAATAAATAATTATTTAAATTTAGAATTAAATTAAAAAACCTGATTGAAACCACGATCTTGGATGGCATCGACGATCCTCCGGAGATCAAACCCACCTCGGGAGGTTCGGAGGGCGGTGCCGCCTCTCTTATGCCAATCATCGACCAGCTTCAGACTCAGCTCCACCGGCTCGCTCGAGTAAAACCCTCTGTAGCCAGCCACAATCCCATGTATCTGCCGCACTCCGTACAGCTCCCAAAGCCCCACCACCAGCTCTCTGATCACCGTGTTCATCCCGGGGCACAGCCCTCCACACGTCACGATCGCCGCTCGAACCGACTCCGGTTCGAAGTAAACCGACCGCCGTGGACCAGCTCGGTAGTACGCCACGTGTGCTGGAGAAGGCTTTCTGGAGAGGTCGAAGGCGATGCGGCGGAGGACGACGTCGGTGGAGGTGGCGTAGAAGCCGTCTATTGGGTGGAAGAACTGGTTGTTCTGGAGTGGGTTGGTTCTGCTTTGGAGGGTCGGGAAGTGGTCGGTCAGGTGGGGCAGGCTTGCGACGGCGATGGGGGGGTGCCGGTCAGCGATTTCGGCGGCGGCGGTGGCCATCTTAGGGGAAGGGGAAATTGAGAGGCGAGTTTGGGGGATGAGTGAAATGAAGAATGAACCGGTTGTTGAGGTGGCTGGTTTTTAAAGTACCCATGGAATATATATATACATATATATATATATATATAATTATAAAACTTGGCAGATGGTGGTGTAAAGGGCTTTATCTACTTGCTCTGTTTCTATTGGTTGCCTTTTTTGTAAACATTTTTAAAAAGTGGGTTCAAAATTAATTATTCAAAAGTTGAATACATTGTTTTTTTAATATTTAAGGAACTTTAGAATTACCGTAAGACTCATAATCTATGGGTATTTTTTTTTAATTTAATCCTACAAAATTATCTTAAAAGCACTTTATTAAAAAGAAAATATTCTTTTTAACTTTAATGCCACATGAAATGTCAATAATATCCTTCCATTTTCAAAAAAAAAAAATCATTAATAACTTTAAACTCTTTTAATAATGTCAAAAGTATTTTTATTTATTTTTTAAAATTAAAAAAATATTATTACCATTTCATTTCAAAAATATTCTTCCTTCTTCCAAACTAATATTAAAATATTTAGAGATAATCTACAAAATATCGGCAAATGGTTTTTGTCGATATTAACTATAAAAAAAATTATAAATTTTGTATAAAGATAAAGGATGTTAATGACTATTTATAAAATTTAATGTGTATTTTTTTAAACATAATACTGTTTTTGTAATTTTTTTCACAATATGTATTTATGAAACTTTATAAAGTTCAAGGATATTTTTGAAATAAAAAACTCACATTTAACACAAAAACAAGCTATATAATTATTTTTTTTTTAAAGTTTTATTATTGAAATTTTTTAATGTTCAATAATATTTTTTTTAGTCAAAATATAATTTTTTTTATTAATTTAACACATAATATTTAAAACTTAAACACAAAGAACGAAAATATTATACCCAATAGGGATGAAAAAATTTAGCAAGCAATCTCTTATATGATAAATTACGAGGTTAAATCGAGGGATTTAATTTAGACATAGTTTCCGATAGAGAAAGAGATCCCTCACACACGCAGTAACGAGATGAGGTTAGTTGTGACAACCTCCTCGAATAACTTATCGTTCGACGAGACTGTTACAGTGACACGTATCACTAAATTTACACCCACCCATTGAATGATAAAAACGATAGAGAACGAAGAAAAAAAAATGAAACATTTTTCTTACCATGCATTCAACCCGCTTAGAAAAGTGAGGCACGCTCGAGTCTCCGAGAAATCGTGGGCGGAGATGACGATGAAATTTAGCCTGCATGACTCCCTTGATGCCAATTAGGAAGGATGCGAAGGAGGCTTGGCAAAGGCTCCATAGTTGGCATGCAGGGAGCCAGGCAGGACCAGAGTCCCAACCCGATGAAGATGGGTTAGGCCGATGTGCGTGGTTTTATAGGGAACGCCGTGGGATAAACCCAAGGGGGAGCTTCTTGTAGGCTTGCGTTTTCTGGACCGGCACAAAAACCAGTCTAAACGACAACGAGGCAAGCTCACAGTGACAGGTCAGCTTCGCTGTGAAAAAATGTCTGATTCATTCCATCCAATAAATTATATTTTTACTTACTTTTTAACAATTTAATTTACAGCGTGGCTTTTGGTTTTTCTTTCTTGTTTTATGCATCTTTCGTCCATTTCAATGTCCTCATTATTATTGTTTTTAACAAAATTAATTTTCAATTTTCACTTCATTTTCAATAATATCTTTGCGATAGAAAACACCGCTAGTAGATATTGTTTGTTTTTTCTTCTTGTATTAAATACTGTTTCTGTAACAACCCAAGTTCACGCTAATCGATATTATATGTTTTGACTCGTTATGTATAGTTCTCATAGTAAAGAACATGGTGAAAACTATTCCTCTAACAATCAAAGCCGACCACTAACAAATATTGTCTGTTTTTTACCATTACGTATTGCTTCTCATAGTGAATATTGTTTCTGTAACTACCCAAGTCCAGATATTGTATGTTTTGACTCGTTACGTATCAATTCTCATAGTGAAAATTATTCCTGTAGCAACCAAAGTCTACTGCTAGCAGATATTGTCTGTGTTTTGCCCCTTATGTATCGCTTTTCAAAGTGAAGACTGTTTCGGTAACAATTCAAGTCCACCGTTAACCGATATTGTATGTTTTGACTCGTTACGTATCACTTCTCATAGTGAAAACCATTCCTGTAACAGTCCGAGCCCACTGTTACTATTCCTGTAACAACGAAAGTCTACCGCTAGCAAATATTGCCAATTTTAGTCCCTACTTGTTACTTCTCAGAGTGAAGACTATTTTTGTAACCGTTCAAGCCCACTGATAGTAGTTATTGCTGTCAACCTCCGATTTTTAAAATGCATTTATAGGGAAAGGTTTCCACGCCCTTGCCCCTTAGGGGCCTAGCATCTTCACACCCTTATATATATGGAATGTTTCTTGGGGGTCTAGCGTCTTCACGCCCTTATATATATGGAATATTTCATTCCCCTCTTCAACCAATGTAGGATCTCACAATTCCCACGTTAACGTTAAGCGGGCTTAACTGGAAGCACTTAGTTGGGTGACCTCTTAAATTTTTTTTCTTTCTATAAAGCATGTCGAGTGAAGTTAAAACATGTCGAAAGAACTTATGTTGATCGGTGAGAATAATCCTCTCTTAAAAATGGCAAATAAGTAACATGGTTATGTCGAGACATATTAGATACTGAATCTAGGTTCCAAATCCAGAGTACCGAGGATATCCAAAGCTCTATGTCGATTGATTATTTTCTTATTTTTGCCTTCCATTGTACACATAATACTCCTTGTTGGGGTGAACCATTCAAATTTTTACAGCCAATTGTTTTTTTTTTTTTTTTATAAAAAAATTGAAGAAAATAAAAGTTTTTTTTGTACCCGAGTGTATTCGACGCCTGATAACACTAAGAGTCCTTTATTCGTTCTTTGTAACAACACAACCTCACTGCTGATAGATATTGTCCACTTTGACGGCTACGTATCGCCGTCAGCTTCTCAATTTTAAAACATGTCTGCTACGGAAAGGTTTCTATACTCATGAATGCTTCGTTTCCCTCTCCAACCAATGTGAGATCTCAAACCTGATTTTACGAGTCGAAACAGATAATATCTACTAGCGATGGACTTGAACCGTTACAAATGGTATCAAAGTCGAGCGGTGTGCCGGTGTAGTAAGCTGGCCCCTGAACGAAACATTCAACCTCTCTTTAGCATGAGCGTTTTAAAATTGTGACGTGATTTGGTTTTGCAAGCCGGAACTCTTATAAATGAACTAAATAAAAACTAGGTTTATAGTTCCAAAATGAAAAGTGATATCCACCCTTGATTTCCATCAAACAGGAGAATTTTAATTTTATTGGATCCAAGTGGTTGGAAGGAGCCGCCGATGGCTCTGGGAGAGAACACGAACTTCATTACGCCCAATTCTACAACGCTCTACTCCCTTGTTGAAGCGGTTGATTTAGCAGAGAGCTCCAGATACAATCCATCTCCTCCCCTGCCTGTCCTCCTCCGCCGTCGTCCAGCGTCGTCGGCGGCACTTGTGCCTCGTATTCCGCCTCCCAAGGATCCGGCAGATTACTCCAAACCAATTGCCCCGACGACAACTCCGTCCCAATCGTAGTAGCATCGGCGGTGGATAGTCCATTGTAAAAGGAGGTGAAGAAAACATCGTCCAATTTCCAGTCCTCGGATTCGCAATAAATCAGGCTCTCCTTCAACCAGGGGAAATCGAAGACGCCGAACGACAGATCGAAATCAAAGAATGTTCTAGGAAGAGGTTCCTTGGCGTCGTCACTGCCGCCGTGGAGGCGCTGCTTCTTTCCATTACCGATCTCCGGCAGCGAAGATTGTTCCTCTGATGATTCTCTTGGTCGCTTGGTGCTTTGGCGGTCCATTGATCAAGTGGCTTGGAAGATGAACAATGAAACGAGGCGGGTAAGGTAAATTGGAATTAAATAAATATATATATATACATATATATATATTTTAATTTGTATGGAAAATGGAATTGGGTCACGCAGTTTGTGAGCATTGGCGTTGTTGTTCGTCCCGCAGTGCCATCATTCACCCAACATGTTACATGAGGTCCAGCTTCTAAGGTCTGTTCCACTTTTCACGTTCCGGCCTCTCTCTCTCTCATCTATCTTTCTTTCTTTTTTTTTTTTTTTTTTTTTTTTTTTTTT